CACGCCCTCCCACCCCACCCCCATCCAATCCTCAGAGAGGGTAAGGCACGTTGCCTTGTGGAAGGTCCAAGGCCCTCCCTACTATATCTAGGCTGAGCAAGGTATCCATCCAAAGAGAACAGGTTCCCAAGAAGCCAGTATGTGCAGTACGGAGAAACCCTGGTGCCACTGCCAGTGGCCCCCCAGTCTGCCCCAGCCATGCAACTGTCATCCACATTCAGACGGACTAGTTTGGTCCTATGCTTCCTTCCTTCCCAGTCCGGCTGGAGTTGGTGAGCTGCCAGTAGCTCAGATAGATTGTTTCAGTGGGTGTACCCATCATGGTCTCCAGTAAAGTCCAGTTGAAGGTCAAGACACATGCTATTCTTATCTATTACAAAAAGAAGATTTTTTTCTCTCTCTTTCTTGTCTTCAGATGAAATCATAATTGTAACTCAGTATCTAAAGCAACTCAGTGCAGAACCACACTGGTGAACACTGGCGCAGGGCTTAGAACCCTGCTAGCTCGCGCCCCTTCAGTCCTTCAGTCCTTCAGACAGGCGTGCACTAAGGCAGCTCTCCAGAACCCTGGATTCCAAGAAGCTAGACAGCACGATACCTTCTTGTAAACCTTGTTAGCAGGACAGGATGAGGTCAAGATCTGTTCTAGACCGTGCATAACACAGAGCTGTGCTGGGCATAGAAGGCAAAGGAGGGCATTGAACTTCTAGTAGAAAGACTAACACCATGGAGGGGGAGAGCTCTAGATAGAGATTATGGGGGTAAGAAATATACAAACCAAAAATCATATTTGGAGAAAAACTTAGACCTGAGAGTTCATATTTTGTGAAAGAAAATAAGTCATGAAGCCCATATGGATCAATCACATGTGTGTATCCTCTGCATTTACTGGATGCAAGAGAGCTGGAAAGCTACTGGGTTACATGTCAAGAAAGGGAAGAAAGGCTTAGAAAAGCTGCCTACTGCCTGAAATGTCAAAGTGTGCCCGTGTCCCAGACTTCCAGAGATCCTGGTGTAGCAAGATGCTCTGGGAGCAGGAGCAAGTCAGGCTGGAAATGGAATTATCTGTATGTTTTTCTTTTAAAAATCACAGTACACAATAAATGCTATCAGGTTTCTTTAGTTAATAACCCATATTCCCAGCTGAGGGGACCACACAGCTCCTCACCCACCACTACCTTTTGACATTTCTCAAAATTAGCAGTGGCGCAGGCCTCTAATCCCAGCACTTAGGAGGCAGAGGCAGGCAGATCTCTGGGAGTTTGGGGTCAGCCTGGTCTACAGAGCAAATTCCAGGTTGTCTCTCAAATAAACACTCCTTTTCCATATTAACGACTCTTAGACATCTTGTGTTTGCCAGTTTATAATCAACAGAAAGTTTGTCTGTTTGTTTTTTAGTTCTCTTTTGACAGTTGTAACTTTAAGGTCCAAAAATGCAAAGAAGGAACAGGAAGAGTTGTGATGTGGCGGATGGGCATCACAAACAGCTATACAATGGAGTCTACCTTTGGCGGGTCTACCCTAGGTAAGAGGCGAGCCTGGCACGGGAAGCCTGGCACAGCATCTGGGAGATAAAAGGCTTGGGAAAGTCAGAGAAATAACGGATGTGCAGAATTTTCTTGCTAGCCTCAGGTACCAGAGTATGGACCTGGAATCCGCGCATCACTGGGCTCCAAATCACACTCTCCTCAGAACCTGCACTCAGGAACTCAGCTTTGACTTCTGGCTACATTTATTAAGTTCTGTGGTCCTGGGTTTATCTTCCTTGAAGCTCACATTCCCTCTAAGCTACAGTAATAGCACCTGAATTATAAGTACTGCTTTAGGCGTAGTACCTGCCACAAAGTAAAACCAAAATAATTTAAAAAGAACTTGATAATCCATTACAACAGGAAACTTTTTCATTGTCAAAGATTGGTCTGAACCAGATTAAAGCTAGGAGAGCTATAGTTCAGAAACATACTATCCTAGAACAAGAAGTGGTATTTTAAGTCTGCTTTATTTTATTCACGTGTATTGTGTGTGTGTACCATGTGTGTTACTGTGTGTATACCAAGTCTCTCTCTCTCTCTCTCTCTCTCTCTCTCTCTCTCTCTCTCTCTCTCTCTCTCTCTCTCTCT